GTTCTTCTTTCAACTTTATCCGTACAGTGTCTATATACAAATAAATCTTTCTGTATATACACATCTTCTTGTTTGTCTATATTCATTTACAGATACAATTAGTTACCTTGGTTGTGTTTTACATTTTAATACATATTGTCCTTAATAGGAGTTTTCAGCAAGCATTTAAAAGTTGGCACAGAAGGTGACGGCTGAATCTCACAGGGGCCAGCAGATGCCCACATGGGAAGCGCACACAAGACCTGAGCACCAGAGCAACTCTCCCCTCCTGCGGTTTCCAGCAACTGGGATTCAGACACATCGCTGCCTCTGACTGTGGAGCATGACCATCCTCTCCTACTCCATTGTTTTGTCCAACCCTCTTTTAAAGTCATCCAAGTTAGCAGGCATCCCTGCCTCCCATTTCTCTTCAAAACGTAGTGAAAGGAGCTGGAGAAGTAAAGTGGCAGAGAGGGGAACCTTATAAACCGCCAAACCCATTTCTCTCCCTTCAGAACAAGACACCATTCAAGAGCAGAGGAGGCCCAGGAAGCTGCCTTGCACTGCGTTGGAGCAGTGGTCCAGCCATTTCAGCATTGCCTGCTCCTCTCTCAGGTTTCAGGCAAAGGAGCCCCTTCCAGCCCCCACTGGAAATGCCATTGGGGACTGAACCGGGGACCACCTGCCTGCAAACCCCACACACTCTGTGGCTGAAGCGTTGCATAACAGCCTTGCAAGAACAAATTCCAGGGTTGCTTAAAGTACTAGCAGAGATTAGCTGATTAGTTGCGGATGGAGCCGCTGGTGGTCAGAGGCACAGAAAGGAAGAAGGGGCAATTGCCCGGCCAGGCCAGGCTGCTTTCCTGCTGCCACGGAGCCACAGTCCCAAAAATGCTAAGAAAGGGATTCCCAGCATTAAACCTTCTTCACGTTCTCCCCCCCCCCCCGGCTCATTGGAAGGGTCACTGAGGGATGGGGCAGGGGACAAAGGCAGAGCCATAGTGCCATGAGGGCAGGATGAAACTGGGACCAGGAATAGTGATTCCTGCATTGCAGGGGGTGGGCCAGATAATAATTATTAATATGTATTAATATTTGTACCCCGCCCATCTAGCTGGGTTTCCCCAGCCACTCTGGGCGGCTTCCAACAAAGATTTAAAATACATCAAAATGTCACACATTAAAAACTTCCCTGAACAGGGCTGCCTTCAGATGTTTTCTAAATGTCAGGTTGTTGTTTATCTCTTTGACATCTGGTGGGAGGGAGTTCCACAGGGCAGGTGCTACTGCCAAGAAGGCCCTCTGCCTGGTTCCCTGTAGCTTTGCTTCTCGCAGGAATGGAACTGCCAGAAGGCCCTCGGCGCTGGACCTTTGTGTTCCGGCTGAACAATGGGGGTGGAGACGCTCCTTCAGGTATACTGGGCCGAGGCCATTTAGGGCTTTCAAGGTCAGCACCAACAATCTGAATTGTGCCCCGAAACATACTGGGAGCCAATGTAGGTCTTTCAAGACCGGTGTTATATGGTCTCGGCGGCCGCCCCTAGTCACCAGTCTAGCTGCCGCATTCTGGATTAGTTGTAGTTTCTGGGTCACCTTCAAAGGTAGCCCCACATAGAGCGCATTGCAGTAGTCCAAGCGGGAGATAATCAGAGCATGCACCACTCTGGCAAGACAGTGCGCAGGCAGGGAGGGTCTCAGCCTGCGTGCCAGATGGAGCTGGGAGAGAGCTGCCCTGGACACAGATGTCTCTTGGGCTTCCCTTCCAACTCCATGATTGGATCTGGCAGATAGGCATTTTAATTACCCACTTGGACTCGGTTCCCCAGGTGTAAAATGGGAATAATGGTGACCTACAAGAGCCCTCAAAGGAGGCTCTATTCTTTCTTATTTTGTCCCTGGCTGCAAAAAAAGAAAGAAAAGAGGGATAAGATAAGCCCTGATTTCCCACCCCATTGCCTCCTCCGCAGTGAATCATAGGAAAGGTGTCTCGCTCCTGCAAGGACCTGCGCTGCCATTTGGGTGCCAAGTAGAAAGGCGGGCATCGGATGCTGAGCCCGGGAGCATTTCAGAGGCACCGGATTTCAGCACAGAAAACTCCGAAGTGGTATCTCTGGAATGCAGAGCCGCACAGTGACGCCTTTCGCCCCAACCTCCAGTCTGGGAGGGATGATGGGGTTGTCTCTTAAGGTTAGCAGCAAAATGAGGAAGAAGCAGAACAGGGAGAGATGCTCTTTCCAGTGCCTGGGGAGCTGGCCTGCTTTCTTGCTCTCCTTTGTTTCCCGCTGGGTGTGATTCAGAGATGGTCTGGAGCCAGAAAGATGCCCTTCCTGTTTCCCAGCTCAGTTTGCCCCCATGACATCCCCCCTCCCTTTCAGGTGGACTATCATGCAGTGGCATGCAGTGAATTTTTTCTTACGGGATCAGTTAGGGCCAGAGGCGCCAGCTTGCGAGGGCAATGGGGGCGGCGATGTCGTGCCTGTGACGTTGCACGCGTGAGCATCACTCCTCCCTCCCTAAGCCAGCCAGAAGCTTCCCAGGCATTGGGAAGGAGGCGCCAGGCTTTAATACTTTAATACAGTGGTACCTCAGGTTAAGTACTTAATTCGTTCCAGAGGTCCGTACTTAACCTGAAACTGTTCTTAACCTGAAGCACCACTTTAGCTAATGGGGCCTCCTGCTGCCGCTGCGCCACCAGAGCACGATTTCTGTTCTCATCCTGAAGCAAAGTTCTTAACCTGAAGCACTATTTCTGGGTTAGCGGAGTCTGTAACCTGAAGCGTATGTAACCTGAGGTACCACTGCACTCTAATTTACTGGGAACATTTAGGGGGCTGGCCTAGTCCCCCAGTCCACTGACCACACTCCACTGCCATAATGGAACCAGCAAAGTCTCTGTTCAAACTCTCCTGCTCCCTTTGCTTTGGCTAACTTCACGAGACCGATACCAGCCCAAACATATCATGGGCACTGGCAGCACGGAAGAGAAACTTATTTTTAAAAGCGAAACATACCAGTTTTGCACCTAGGAAAAGAGACAGCCTTGGCCTCCATGAATTTGTCTGTCAATGGCAACTCCTTGGTTGTTTGCACCTTTATCTCCATGGAACTTAATACGGTGTCCGTGGTTCCTCCTCTCCGCATTTAATCCCCACAACAACCTTGTGAGGTAGGCTAGGCTGAGGGGCAATGGCAGGCCCCAGTGAGCTTCGTGGCCAAGTGGGAATTTGAACTCTAGTCTCTGCTGACCTGAGCCCGAGCCTGACACTCTAACCACGATGCCAAGCTGGTTTCTAGAAGTAGTTGGGCCACTGGCCTGATCCTGCCTTATGTGCTGACTTGCCTCTGGAAGGCAGAGAACCCTTTGCGGCTTCTTCCATGCCGGGAGACGTGCTTGCAGTCGCATCAGAAGCCTGGGAGGCGACAGGAAGGAAGGCTGGGCTCCTTCAGGAAGCTGCTTTGATAAGTGGTTTCAATGGCAGGAGGGAAGCAACCTGCTGTGGGCTCCCCTCCCCTTCAATGTGGCCTTTATCAAAGCGCAGGAGGGCCAAGCCCAGCTAGCAGCAGGGTTGGGGGGGCACTGCTGAGGTCCCACTCCTCCCCCAGGAGCAAAACCTGTGGGACCCAGCTTGGAAGCAGGAAAAGGGGTGGATGGGCAGGAAGCACAGGGACTCAACCCATGAGGACCCCGGCCCTTCACTGTCCTCTCTCATGCCCATCCCATGCTGTAGTCCGGCTACTCCTAAGTAACACCCTCCCCCACCTCGTGTCTGGAACTCCCCACGGCTCCAGGGACCCTTCAAGGCCTTCCTCTGTGGGTCGGCCAGGTCACCTGGGGAGCTGAGCGCCCTGGGAAAATGGGGCCAGGAGAGGAGTCTGCTGCTTTCTCTGAACCCAGAGAAGGCTATGGACCCCGTCAGGATGGCTGAGTCACACTGATGTCCCGATGTCCGAGCAGTTAGGCCACTCCAGCCCACAAAAGGAAAAACAGCCAGGCCAGCCTTGCAACCCGATTAAGAAGGTGCCATTGAGCAGGAGGGAGGGAGGGAAAAAATGAAGACAGGAATTTAGTGTCCAAATGGTGCAAGCTGAACTGGAGAAGCTCATTGGTTGACCCCACAGGAGGCTCTGGATTAAACCTCAAGCACCTCCAGATTGGGAGGGCAAGGGAAAGACCCCTGCCTCAATTCCTCTGTGGGTGGGGGCCTGATTCTCTGCCATGTGACTTCCTGAACTCTAAATGGGTGCCTCTTTGGGCTCTGCTTCTCCGGGCATCAAAAGTGAGACCCGGATTAGGTCCTGGAAGAAACCTGGGTTCAAATCCGCCCTCGGCCATGAAGCTCACTGGCCAGCCACTGCCTCTCAGCCTAACCTACCTCACAGGGCTGTTGTGAGGACTGAATGAGGAGGGGAAGAAGAATCATGTAGACTGCCTTGAAGAAAAAGTTGGGATAGGAATGCAAAAAGTTACTCATTTTTCACACAGCAAATCTGGTTTATTTATTTCCTGATGGAGCCTCGGGGTGGGCAGAGCAAGGGCCGGTTCCCTGCTCCGGGGGCGACGTTGGCTCGGGCTGACCCAGCCTACAGGGTTGTTGTGAAGATAACCCAGTCAGAGAAACCCCCAAGGCGCTTTGGGCAGGGAAGGGGCAAGAAGGTGATTGCTCAGCTCCAGCTCAAGCTGGCAGGAGGGCCAGGGGGTGGAAAGGAGACCCTTCTGGGACTGAGAGCTGCTGCCGGCCAGAGCTGACAACGCTGGCCTCCCAGCTCATTCGGGGCGCCATGGGAGCTACCTGGAAGCAGGCGCCGTCCGGAGAGCCTCCAGGCCAGCTCCTCGGGGCGCGGCGAGGGATGCGCGCAGCGACGCTCCTGTTCTGCACACCCCGGGGCGCCAACCCCGGAGCAACTGCGCCCCGTTCCCTCGCCTGCCTGCCTGCCTGCCTGCCCCGAGTGGCCTCGCCTCTCCCGCCCGGGCTGTCCCCTCCTCCGCTGGGGCGGGCGAGGAAGCGCCAGGAGGGAGTATAAAGGCGCCGGGCGGGCGCGCAGGCGGGCAAGACGGGACGCGGGGCGAGGAGAGGCCGGAGCAGACGCCGCCGAGGGACCAGCGCAGCCGGCAAGTGCGCGGCGCCGCGCGGGGAGGAGGTGCCGCTCTCCCGGTTTGCAGAGAAGGGCTGGAGAGGGGGGTCGCTTCCCCCGCTTGCAGGACCCTCCTTCGCCAGCCTCCCGGGGAACCCCTCGTTGGGTGGGGGGCAGGCGAGGACCCCCAGCCCCAGCTGGCACTGCAAGCAAGCTCCCCTCTCCGTTTTCCGCCGGGATTCCGGTTGCGGGGGGTGGAAGCATCGGCTGGGAAGCGACCATCTCCCCTCTCTCCGTTGCGCGCGCGCGCGCGGTGATGCACCGGGAGGCTGCTGGCTTGGCCAGGGCTTCGGGGGGACGGAGGGGAGTTAGCGGGCTTCGTCCGCAAGTCACGAGATATCTGCAGCGGGAGGGGGCGGGGGAGAAAGGAGCGTTGGGTCCCCGCCGCCGCCTTCACACGGTCGCGGGCAACACGCGTGTGAGGGGGAGAGCCTTCCCTTCCCCGCGAGGAAGAGACAAAGCGCGGCGTCGCCCGCCAAGCTGCTGAAAAGGGGAAGCGCGGAGCCGGGGCTCGTGATGCGCGTCTGGCGAGGAGCCTCCGGGCGTCTGCAGCGGGCACGACCGGCCCAGACCTGCCCGCGATGGGGGGAAGGAGGAGGCGGCGGCGCGTTTCCAGAGGCCCCTTCCCACCAGGGGGCATGGAGAGGGGGGGCGTCGAGGGGTGCGCTAGCCTGGCATCCCACCCACAGCGCCCCGGGATCTCGGGGACGGGGGCAGTTGCGAGGGGCTGGGTAGGGGGCAAGGGCCAGGCTCGTCTGCGCCCCCGGGTCCGGGTCTGTCTTGGAGAAGGGGGGTGCTCCGGCTCAGGGACCAGGCAGCCCGAGGTGGGGTGGGGGAAGCTCAGGGGGCTGCTGGAGAGAGCTGCCCCTCATCCCCGGGACTGCCCGGTGGAGCTCCTCTTTCTTGGGGGGCAGTATCACCCCCTAACCCCCAGTCCCGCTCCCGCGCAGTGGGCGATGCTGCGCCCAAGTCTCTCTCCCGATGCTGCGCCCAAGTGGAGGAGAAGCGAGCCCGAAGGGAGCCGCTGGAAAACTCTGGCCCCAGCCTGACCTCAAACTCCTGATCTTCCAGCAGCTCGCCAGATCCCCCCCCCCCCGCCACACACACAAAGGACAAGCATAAGAAAGAGTCCGCAGGCTGGACTCCCCCCTCCCTCGCAGAGCCCTCTGGGCCAGCGGCCAGATCTCCACAGTCCCGTTGTCCAGACGTTCGCGTCCCTGGTGCGTATTGCCCGTCCTATGGAACTTAGTGGATAACTGCCTCTGAACATGGAGGCTCTGCTGAGCGCTCAGGGATAGCAGCTGCTGGAGGAGGAGCCTCCCTTTTCCTTAGAAGAGAAAGCTGCGCTTGGTGGGGTCCCGTCTAGAAGCTCCGGCGGAGGTCAAGAGAGGATCCTTCTTCCTTCCCAGCAAGGGCCCTCTGATCCTCCCCCCATGAACTGGGTCCGGCCTCCTGTCAGTCTTTAAAAAGCTTAGAATTTTAGAACTGTGACATTGGAGGGGACCCCAAAGGTCATGTAGTCCAACCCTCTGCAATGCCGGAGTGTGACCATCTGAAACCACGCAAGCCGTGAAGAAAATGCCCACCAGCTCTGACCCAAAGGCCTGTCTTCTCCAGCCCTCTCAGCGTGGCCCATCGGACGGGCACTTTGGGCAAAAGGAGCTTTGGGTCTTTCTTCACTTGTGGAGTGACTGGTGTCCCTCCAGCACTTCCTGAAAAATTGTTGCAAAAACAAGGCTTCTCCTAGAGGAAGGGTGGGAGACAAAACCCCTAGAATGGTAGAGTCAGAAGGGACCCCCCAGGGTCATCCAGTCCAACCCCCTGCAATGCAGGAATCTCAGCTGAAGCCGCCAGGACAGACGGCTATCTGACCTCTTCAAGGAAGGAGATACATTCAATAAATACTGTCCTTTTCTGTGTATAAGACTAGGTTTTTTTTACTCTAAAATAATGTTAAAAAATGGGGGTCATCTTATACGTAGGGGTCATCTTCCCCCATTTTCATAAATTTGGGTCCCCCAAAATAGGGGTCGTGTTATACATGGAAAAATACGGTAAACGATTTCAAAAAATAAATCCTGTAAAAGTGTAATGTGCAATAATAATAATAAATTTTATTTATACCCTGCCCTCCCCGGTCAGAGCCGGGCTCAGGGCAGCTAACAGCAGTAAAAATTACAGTTAAAAACATAATGGGGGGGGACCCAATTTAAAATACAGGTTAAAATGCAATTTAAAGTGCAGCCTCATTTTAAAAGTAGCCCATAGATCACATAAAGACATAGAAACATTCAAATTACCATGCCCCATGAAGAACATCATCCACACACTAGCCTTTAAGAACATGAGAAAAAAAGTTATTTTTTAAATCAGGCACCTAAAAGAAGATAAGGTTGGGAGGAGAAACACTTCAGTGGGGAGGTCATTTGACAGGCACAGAGCCCCCGCCAAAAAGGCTCTTTCCCACAGGCCCCACCCGCAGTTTAGCATGGAGACCCCCCCCCCCGAAGAGTCCCAGCTGAGGATCACAGTGCCTGGGCAGGTGGGTGCGGGAGGCGGCGTTCTCTGGGGAATTGGGGCCCCAGGTCATTCAGGGACTTTCACTTCCAGCTGAGCACCTTGAACTGGGCCCAGGAAGTTCTCGTCTTAGCCTGGCACAGAGCCAGTTGCATCAAGATCCCCCCTGCCCCCCCCCCAGCGCTGAGGAGCTGAGGTTTCTGTTGCTCTGCCTGTAATGTGGAGGAGGGTTTCCTCAGAGGACTGTGCGCAGTGATGGCCAAGTGCCCATCAAATCACTGGCCCTCAGCACTGTGGGAGGGACTGGTGCCACTTCTGTGTCCCGCGCAGCCCCTGGCACACATCGCTTGCCAGGGAGGGGGGCGGGGAAGGAGAGGGAGCTGCTGCCCACGGACCTGCAGCTGGATCAGGCCAAAGAGGGCCCATCTAGTCCAGCCCCCTGTCCTCACAGTACCCAATGCGAAACCCACAAGTGGGATTTGAGCACAAGGGAATGGATACTGATGTTTTAGACCTTGAAGGTCACAACAGTAGTTTTGCTTGGCAGGCATCGAAGACGAAATGTAGCCCCAGAATCTACAACTTATTTGTTGTATGAAACGGTTAAAGCACATAGAGCTTTCTTGAATCGTGTTGTAAGAAAATCGGTTTTGTCCAGTCCTGTGGGAGGGAGTTCCACAGTTTAACGATATGCTCCTGCATGAGCTATGTTCTAGGGCCAACGACTTGCTCTCCTCCGCCACCTCTTGCAGGGCAAGTGCCACCATGGTCCTGTGCAACTCTCTTCTCCTCTTCCTCCTCCTGCTGCCCTTCTTGGGCACAGCGGCTGCCGCTGCCACTCCAGGCTTCAAGATCAGGATGACAGCCAAGGGCTTGGACCTGGGTAAGGAGGCGGGGGGCAAGGGGAGGGGATCCTGCAAAGCGGTTCTCTTTGGGGTACCTGCCTGGTCCTCAGCACTGCTCCTGCCAAGGACCCCTCTGGCCTTTGGGTCCTGCCCTGTTCTGCCTGCCAAAGGGGACTTGGTGGGTCTCTTGGCCGGCACCTCCTGCCCCCAAGGGATGTGGGTGGCTGCTTGACCCCCCTCCTGGGTTTGTGAGGGGAGCAGCTGGCGGTGACACCCCTCTGGGGGCTTTTGCAGTGAAGCAGGAGGGGCTCCGCTTTGTGGAACAGGAGCTGGAGAACATCACCATCGCTGATTTCCACGGCAAGGAGGGCCAGTTCCACTACAACATCAGCAAGTGAGTTTATTTGGGGGGGGGCTGCCCCACAGGGGCTTTGCTTCCTAGCTTAGAAGATGCTGTGCTTGGCCAGGGACCAATCACCCACCCTGGGTTGGTGGCCGCCTCCTGTGGCAGGGAGTTCCATAGTTTAGTTGCAGGCTGTAACTCTGCAGTTTAGTACCAGGCTGCGTCTCTTGCTCTCCCCACAGGGTGAGAGTGACCCATCTCCACCTGTCCGCCTCCGACCTGCGCTTTGAGCCCAAGCAACACCTGGCCTTCAACATCAACAACGGGTCCATCAGCCTGCGCTTCCGCCGCCAGCTGCTCTACTGGTTCTTGTGAGTCACTCGCATTCTACTCTCACACCAGCCCAAACAGGGAGCCTTGGAGGAGGCCGGCTTGGGGAGGGGGGTAACTAAACCTCGGTCAAGTATACCTGAAGTTCTGCCCGGACACTGAGGTCCAGCGCCGAGGGCCTTCTGGCGGTTCCCTCCCTGCGAGAAGCAAGGTTACAAGGAACCAGGCAGAGGGCCTTCTCGGTGGTGGCACCCGCCCTGTGGAACGCCCTCCCACCAAATGTCAAAGAGAAGAACAACTACCAGACTTTTAGAAGACATCTAAAGGCAGCCCTCTTTAAGGAAGCTTTTAATGTTTAACAGACTACTGTATTTTAATACTTTGTTGGAAGCCGGCCAGAGTGCGCGGGGTATAAATAATAAATTATTACTTAAGCCCCCAGGGAGCCAGCTCCTTCCCACCACAGGCAGAGGGTCCTTGCAAGGGAGCTGTGAGCCCTGAAGTGGCAAGACCTCTTGTTAACTGGGATTCATGCACTGAAAGCGTTGGACTAGCTGGCCTTGCAGCTCTACAGTTTGATGAGTCTGCCTGGACAGCATGTATCATGCATGGGAATGGGGCAAATATGAATCCCTGTGACCCACATGTGTGGGGTAAATCACAAAAGAATTGAGTGGGGGCCTGGAATCAAAGTGTGGGGCTAAGATCAGTTGCAGAGTTTAAACTCACAAAGTCAAGCACCTCAGTGAAGCGAGAGGAATATAAGCTGCTTGCATATCTCGTTTAGTCTGTTTGCAAAGCACCCCTCTCTTTCTACCCCTTTGCAATGAACAGACCACACACTGTTAAGTAAGTTTAAAATGCTTTACTTACAAAATGTTCCAAAAGTCGGATTAATGCATTTATCCAAGCAGCGGCAAAGAGAGCACAGGCAGAATACTGTTGGGTAGAAAATGCAGAAAGATCGCTTCAAACGCATGGGCTCTAAGCTTGGAGTTTGCTTAGGCACATCTTCCTTGATCAGTTATATGGCACGGAGAGAGAGGGAACAGAGAGAGAAGGCTTAACTTCCTCCCTCTTCAGAGAAGAGGAGGCGTGACCTAGCTGAGTCTAGGAAAAGGACTCTGTAGTCTTAACCCCTTCGTGCACTAACTAGTATTCATGCATTATTATATTTGACTGCAATCTCCCACCGAAACCTCTGTCTAATGCAGGCATCCTCAACCTTCGGCCCTCCAGATGTTTTGGACTACAGTTCCCATCATCCCTGATGACTGGTCCTCTTAGCTAGGGATCATGGGAGTTGGAGGCCAAAACATCAGAAGGGCCGCAGGTTGGGGGTGCCTGGTCTAATGGGCCAATTGTGCCCTCCCAGCCTGGTCCTCAGCGCTCTCTCTGCTGAGACCCTGGCCTGATCCTGGCATTGAAAGCTGGGCCTGGGCTTCCAAGTGCCCTGTGGTGGGCTCCCTTTGTGGCTGAATTATGTGGCTGCTGGCCTCATCATATCATCATTCAATTCTTTATGCCCCAGCCACTCTGGGCGGCTTCCAGCAAAATACTACAACTTGGGGGTTGGCCTCCTGTGGGACGCCTGGAGAGTCAGCCTCCCCACCCCCATGCCTACTTTTAACCCTTTCCACCCCAGCTATGACATCGGCTCCATTAACACTTCGGCAGAGGGGGTCCACATCCACACTCAGCTGGAGCTCTCCAAGGACAACAGCGGCCGCCTCAAGATCTCCAACTTCAGCTGCAACGCCTCCATCGGCCGCATGCATGCCGGATTCAGTGGCACGCTCAGGTACGCCTGCCTCCAATTGGCCCCTGGCGCTTTGGGGGAGCAAGTCCCCAGGGGCGCCTCTGAGCAGGGCGGAGAGAGGTGGCAAGCTGCTTCAGGGACCAGGCTGGCAACTAAGTTGGCATCACGGCGGCATGGTTGGAAGGGGCGGGGGCGGCGGGGAGCCCGTTGCAGCAATAGAGGAGCCCATGGTGGCTGAGGATGCTTTGGGGGCAGGGCAGTGGCTGGAAGGTCCAGCAAGGAGTTAGGGTGGCTCATTCCCACTGGGCAGAATAGATAAGAAGAGCCGGCTGGATCAGGCCAATGGCTCGTCTAATCCAGCATCCTGTTCTCACAGTGGCCAAGCAGATGCCTCAGTGGGAAACCAGTAAGCAGGATCTGACCACAAGAGCAACTCTCCCCCTTCCTGTGGTTTCCAGGGGGAGGCAGAGCACAGCCGTCCTGGCTAGCAGCCTTCGATAGCTCTTCATTGTCTTCTTTTAAGGCTTCTAGGGTGGTGGCCACCTACTGTGGGAGGGAGTTCCACAGTTTAACTATGTGCTGCGTGAAGGAGGACTTTCTCTCATCTGTCCTGAGTCTTCCGACATTCAGCATTCTTGAAGGTCCAGAAAGCCTTGTGTTAGGAGATCCTGTGACAGGGAGGGGCATTCTGGGACTTCCCCTTAGAAAGGATCAAGGGGCTCCACCAAGGTGGATTTGATTTAAATCAAATCAATTTAAATCACTAGTCAGTAAGACTCAATTTATTATAATAATAATAATTATAATTAATCTTATTTATTTATTTACAGAAAGACTCATTCTTGTTTGTATAATCTTAATATTTACAACCAGATAAAGGTTTCATTTTTGGAATAATACATTTTCAGAGTAGTTTTTACAGTTATATCAAAAATTACTGATTTGGTTATACTATTGGAAATACAAAGTCAGGTAATTATGAAATTATTGTTTATATTTGGACAACTTTTCTGCTGTACTTTATCGGAAGGAGAAAAACAATCATTTCCTTAATAACAATTTAAACTATTTAACACAAAAACATTATAGCGTACGTATCCATGTTTGTTAACTGATGTGGTTAAACAATTAAAAACAAACAAACAACTTAGACTGAGTTTTAGCACACATGAAAAACTTAAATCCTTATTTCCTGATGAATAGCCTTTGGACTATAATGTAACTTCAATAGAAAACTATCTTTAGAAAGATTTGTCCTCCAAAAGCATTTTATTATAAATATTTCCGATTTAAATAGAATTTTTTTTAAAAAAGAAAACCATTGATTTTTATCCCTTCTGGGCTCCACTCTCATGCTTTTGCGTTCTCTCCAGAAAGGTGTATGAATTCCTTGGCACTTTCCTCACCACAGGGATGCGCTACCTTCTCAACCAGCAGGTAAGAACCACCAAGCCAGAGGTAGGTGGGGCAGGGGACCTTTGGCAGCCCCTCTCGCCGACAGGGGGCAGGAAGAGGTCCCAAAGAGGAGAGTGGGAGAGACCCTCCCTTCCCTCTGCGTTGCACTGGGGGCTGTTGCTTCCTGCTCCCCGCAGACTCCCCCATTCCCTTTCTCGCTTTCAGATCTGCCCGGTGCTGAACCACGCGGGGCTCGTGCTGATCAACTCTCTGCTGGACACGGTCCCAGGTGAGGAAGGCAAGGCAAGGCGACCCACACTCTGCCCCCGCTGCCTGCCTGAGCTCGAGGGTCAATAGCGGGGGGACGTAGGAGAAGGCCAATGCTGGCTGTCTTGGCTTCCTCTTTAGCCACGCGCAACCTCTCCAGCCGGGAGAAGCTGCGCACGCCTTTGTTTATAGCCGCAGGGCTGGGACAGGGGAAGCCCGAGCTTGCCCTGACACCAGCCACCAGAACAGGCTGCTATCTGCAAGCCTTCGGAGCCTGGTGAGAACTCCCGCCGGGCTCAGAAGGCTTGCGGATAGCTGCTTGAAGCCCGGGGAGCGCAGCGGGGTTCAGGCTGCAGGCTGCTATCCAGAAGCCTTTGGAGCGCTCTGAAGGCTTGCGGATAGCTGCCTGAAGCCTGGAGAGCGAGAGGGGTCGGTGCACACCAACCCCTCTCGCTCTCCAGGCTTCAGCAAAAGCCTGCATTCACTCCATTTGGAGGGGGAAAAGTGCGTCCTATAGAGCGAAAAATACGGTATATGTCAGTTTCGCGAATTCCACATAGTCCATCAGTTTCTCTTGCCACAGTTCTTTAGTTGGGATTTCTTCATTCTTCCATCCCTGTGCTATTAAGACTCTTGACGCCATTGTCACATACATGAAAATGTTTTTCAGTTTCCTTGGCAGGTCTTTTCCTACAATCCCTAACAGAAAGGCTTCAGGTTTTTTTTACAAATGTTAATTGGAACATTTTCGAGTCCAGCAGCCTGTTCTTACAGGGGCCGACCAGAGGCCTGTGGGAGACCTGCAAGCAGGATTCAAACACAATTCCCAGCAACTGGGGTTCAGAGGCATCTTCACTCTGACCATGGAGGTGGAACATGGCCATGTGGCTCAGGCAGGCAGGCAAGGGACGCTGTGGCCATCAGCTGCGCTCTCTCACTCTCTCTCCCCCTGCCCTGCAGTGCGGAACCCGGTGGACGACCACATTGGGATAGACTACTCCCTGCTGAAGAATCCCGTCGTCACGTCTGACACCATGGACCTGGATTTTGAGGTGCCTCCTGCAGCAGAGCCCAGGGCTGGGGAACACCGGGACTTGGGTGGGGGTCCCAGGCAGGGAAGAGGACTGAAAACGTGGGGTGGAGCAGCTGAACAGGTTGTGCCCAACCTCTGCCCGAAGGGGACAGGAGGAGCCTTTGTTCTCCACCCCCATTGTTCCAGTGCTGAGGGCCTTCTGGCAGTTCCCTCCCAGCAAGAAGTGAGGTTACAGGGAACCAGGCAGAGGGCCTTCTCGGTAGTGGCACCCGCCCTGTGGAACACCCGTCCACCAGATGTCAAGGAAATAAGCAGCTATCTTATCTTTAAAAGACATCTGAAGGCAGCCCTGTTTAGGGAAGTTTTTAATATTTAATGCTGTATTGTTTTTAACACTCGATTGGCTGGAGAAACTTGGCCAGATGGCATAAATATTGTATTATTATTATTATTATTAATGGTAGGCAGAGCCCAAGGAACTGGGGACTGACATGCGCTCTGGCTGCACTCCCGGAAGAAGCCTTTGCCAATATTTAAATCCTAGAGGTTTGGTACGGGGAGGTCTCCAGTTTGCGTCAGAAGGAGCAGCAAGATGCGGGCAAGGGGTTGCATATCTGGGGAGTCAAAACCCACCCTGTGGTCCCAGGCAGGCGTGCTTGGGGCATGGGCGAGCTGCAAGCAGGTGGCTCCTGGCAGCTGGGTCTGACCAGGGCTGTCCCTCCCCCCCCCCCAGGGCAAATTCTTCTACTTGGGGGACGAGAACAAGACCCTCCCCAATCTGGCCGTGGAGCCTGTCGTGCTGGAGACGGAGCGCATGGTGTACCTGGCTGTCTCTGAGTACTTCTTCGATTCCGCCCTCTTCTCCTACTTCCAGGCTGGCGTTCTGAGCATGGAGATTGCCGACGAAAAGGTTGGTTGGGCAGAGAAGCCATGGGGCCGGGGTGGTGATGGTGGAGAGATGGTCAAAAGCTGCGCCAAGCGGGCAGAGGCCGGGGAGCGCACAGCCGCTGCTCTGACCTGCTGGTACGCTTCACTCTTGTTCCAGGTGCCAAAGGATTTGGAGGTTCTGCTGAGAGCCACGTTTTTCGGGAGCATCGTCATGATGGTGAGTGGCGGCGGCAGGGAAGGAGCTTCCCCTGGGCCAGCTCCTTCCTTCCTTCATCCAGACTCCATGCTTCTCGCCCACCAGAGTGGCAGCAGAGCTCTGGGAGAGAAGCTGAGTTGTGGGCAAAGGGGCACAGCAGAGGTTTCCATCTCTTTCTGTGTGTGATCTGATAGTCTCCCTCAGCTCCGCCCCAGGAAATTGTTGCTGTTGTTTAGTCATTTACTCGTGTCCGACTCTTCGTGACCCCCTGGACCAAAGCACGCCAGGCACTCCTGTCTTCCACTGCCTCTCGCAGTTTGGTCAAACTCATGCTGGTAGCTTCGAGAACACTATCCCACCATCTCGTCCTCTGTCGTCCCCTTCTCCTTGTGCCCTCCATCTTTCCCAACATCAGGGTCTTTTCCAGAGAGTCTTCTCTTCTCAGGAGGTGGCCAAAGTCTTGGAGCCTCAGCTTCAGGATCTGTCCTTCCAGTGAGCACTCAGGGCTGATTTCCTTCAGAATGGAGAAGTTTGATCTTCTTACAGTCCATGGGACTCTCAAGAGTCTCCTCCAGCACCAGAATTCAAAAGCATCCATTCTTTGGCGATCAGCCTTCTTGATGGTCCAGCTCTCACTTCCATACATCACTGCTGGGAAAACCATAGCTTTAACTATACAGACACTTCTTCATGCAGTGCACAGCTAAACTGTGGAACTCCCTCCCACTGGAAGCAGTGATGGCCACGGACCTAGATGGCTCCTGAATCCCAGGAGGGGCAGAGGGCTCTTGCGTTCAAATCCTGCTTTCAGATTTCCCATAGGCAACAGTCCAGCTCTTGTGAGAGGAAGATGCTGCGCTAGATTTGGCCTGATCCTGCAGGCTCTCCTCATCGGAGTCCCTCCTTCTTTCCTCCAGAACCCCTCCGTGGTGGATGCTCCTCTGATGCTGAGGCTGCGGGTCTCCTTGCCGCCCAGCTGCGCCATCAAGGCCTCGGGGATGTCCATTTCCGTCACAGCCACCCTCAACATCTTCTTGGCGCCCGTGGATCAGCCCCTGGTCCAGCTTTCCAGCATGACCATGGTGAGTGGTGCAGGCGAGGCCAGAGGTTGGGGAAACCGGCCCCCGCCAGGGACACAGCTCCTGGGGGGGGGCACAAAAACCAGACTGTGGGGTGTAGGGCAGAGATGTTTGGGGCAACGGGCCACCACAGTCGCAGCAAGATAAAACCCAGGAGACGTTTCCTCTCCTTCTTGCACCACAGAACAAGGGGGTGCAATTCTTCTGGGGAAACCCAGTCAGATGGGTGGGGTATAAATAAATAAATTATAATTATAATTATTATGCCCTTCCTCCTTGCCTCACTCTTTGAGGACTTGGGTGGCATAAAATGCTGTAATTTCTAATGCAGCTATTACAGTAAATTGATTTTTCCAGGGGTGGTTGTGTGCTGATACAGCCCTTTGCCAAGGGCACAAGGGAGCCTCAGGGCATCTCTGAGTGAGGCCAGATCTTCTTCTCCCCAGATTCCCTCCTGCTCACGTGGGTGTTTCCCCCCAGCTCAAAGGAGCTGCTGACTCTCCTGTGACCCCTTGTCCTCCTGCAGCGGCAATTCTTGCATTTCTGCGTGTTAGACTAGATGGCCCCTGGGGTTCCTTCCCACTTGGCAATTCTACGATTCCTCCTCCTCCTCCATCTCCCTGTGACGTGGTTCACCTGAGTCACCTGCAGCTGTTTCCACAGCAAGCTCCTTGCCTGCAGAAGAGCGTAACTCTGGAGCCCCAAAGGCTGGGAGGAAGGACTGGGAGCAGTGCTGTTGGGGAGGGTCTGTTGTCATAGGATCAGGGCCCTGAAGGTCCCAGTTCCTGGTCAAAGAGCTCTTCTAGGAGGCCGGGACAGTTCTTGGCCTCCAACTGCTGCTTCCTGTCTCTGTTGGAAAGCCAAAGGGTGGCAGTCGCCCCCTTCCCAGGCAGGATGTCGGGCTCCTTTGAAACTGACCTGCCCCTCGTCTCCTTTCCAGGAAGCTCGGCTGAGCGCAAAGGTGATTCTGCGCAAGAAAGCTTTGCAGGTGCTGATGGACCTGAGAAGGTACTGGAAGAGTCGCAGGATGGGGAGAAGGGCCAGCCATGGCCCAGTACGGACGGCTGTCACTCACTTCTTCCTCTCTCTTTGCCTTGTTCAGGTTCCGGATCTACTCCAACCAGTCAGCGCTGGAATCCCTGGCCGTAAGTGCTGGGGAGGGACCTGGGGGAGGCAAGGCAGGGCTGCAGCTCAGAATGGGGGTCGCCTCCCATGCCTTGCTGAGTGCCCAGGAGTGCGGGGGCTCCGTTTCCTGTGTCTCCCCCCAAAAGCACCTGGAAAGAGCTCCCTGCTCCTGCCATCCTGAAGAGCCAGAGGGGAAACTGAGGCTGCTGGCTCTCCTCCACTGGGGCTGTTTAAGCAGAGGCTGGGTGACCACCTGTCAGGAACCTGGCGATTTCTGCATTGTAGGGGTTGGGCTAGAGGACCTTTGGGGTCCCTTCTGACCCCACGATTCTTCTATGGCTCACTCTTTCCCTCCCTCCCCAGCTGATCCCTCTGCAAGGGCCTCTGAAGACTCTGCTGCAGCTGACCATCATGCCCATCATCAACGGTAAGAGGCCTGGAGGCGTCGCACGCCTCTGCGCCTGGCAAAAGGAGAAACGTCCTTGTGTAGAGGCCCTGGACCTACTTCTGACTCAGCCTGGCCACCGCAGCCAAGAACGAGAGCTTCCCTCTCTTCTCTGTTGAACTGGGGCAGCGGGGGGGACGGGACACAATGCTCAGCATCAGTGTGGTCACTCTGTGGCCCCCCACCAATTGCAGCTGGGTGGCAAGTCCCCCCGTCACTTTTGGCCACAGGGGCCTCTGGGAGCCCAGAGACATCTCAAAGGCCAGTCCTTCAGCGCAAAGCCAGTAACGGTTCCTTGGCTGCCTGGGTTCAACTGGTATTTCAGAAGCATTGCTGCCCCCAGAGAAGAGCCATTGCACACTGGAGAAATCTGAGGGCTCCCTTGGACAAAAAACAAGGACACCAGCCAGGAATACCAGAGCAAAACAGCAGCCAGTCAGCTTGGTCTTGATTGAAGACTGTCGCGACAGGACTCCCACCTGCCACCAGGTGGAACAAGATGGAAGCCCCCAACAAAAGAGCCCCCAAACTTTTATTAGCTGCTAATTTCCATGTTGTGGGACGCAGGTGGTGCTGTGGGTTAAACCACAGAGCCTAGGACTTGCTGATCAGAAGGTCTGCGGTTGGAATCCCCGCAACGGGGTGAGCTCTCGTTGCTCAGTCCCTGCTCCTGCCAACCTAGCAGTTCAAAAGCACATCAAAGTGCAAGTAGATAAATAGGTACCGCTCCAGCGGGATGGTAAACGGTGTTTCCGTGTGCTGCTCTGGTTCGCCAGAAGCGGCTTCGTCATGCTGGCCACATGACCCGGAAGCTGTACGCCGGCTCCCTCGGCCAATAAAGCGAGATGAGCGCCGCAACCCCAGTCGGCCACGACTGGACCTAATGGTCAGGGGTCCCTTTACCTTTTTAATCCCCATGTTACACCCCCCAAACCACATCATTCATACATCACGGTTACATCATGAAAGGGGAGGTCTGGTGGCAGTAATCTGAGCATCCTGGACCCTGCCCCATGGTTCTCCTTGCCCTCCACCAAACACCCATCGAGTGGAACAAAAGAGATATTTACATTGCCCTGTTTCCCAGCCAAGTCAATCCCACCCTTTGGTCTTGATCTGGGTTTGTTATTTCTGGAATGGCTACCTCTCTGGCACTCAGGTATCAGGGTGCCAGGGATTATCGCTCAGGCAGAGGGGCTGCTGAGTAGCTGAGCTCACATGTGTATATGAATTTCTGAAGTTTTCCCAGTGAGCCAGTACACAGATACAAGCAGAGGCCCTTTGAGTAGATAGGAAGAAACTGTGTTTTGTGGGGACAAATCACAAAAGCGATGGTGCTGGTTTTGGTAGTGGGCTGCATGTGCATATCTGCTGGAGGGGCAATGCCCCCCCAACCTATACATAAATTCCTGCAGCAGCGGCTAGTGGCCCCCAAGAGCCCTCTCCTCCATAACTCTTGCCTCAACTCTTCCTTTTCTTTTCCTTTCCTTGCAGAGAGAACCAAGAAGGGGGTGCAGATCCCACTCCCCGAAGGCATGGATTTCATGAAGGAAGTGGTCACCTACCACAAGGTAGGCAGAAGGATATAAGCCGGATCTGAGCCCTGCCCTCTTGGGGCTTCCGGAAGCATTCACTGTTTCCAACCACAGAGGCTGAGCCAGCTGCCTCACAGTCCTCGACAGCCTTTATCCGCCATGCACTTTAGAGCCTCCTTTTGCAAAAAGAGCAAGAGTCCAACTTCTCTGGCAGGATGCGGCCGTGCTGCTGCTGTCACCGCCTCCGCCTCCCCTTTCCAGGAGCTCCAGCGTCTTCCCTCCCCTGGGAAGTGGCAGCAGCCGAAGCTCCAATCCTGCCCCAACTTTGCCCACCTCTCTCTCCTTCCTTTGCAGGGCTACCTGACCATTGGCGCAGACCTCCACTTCTCCAAAGGCCTGAGAGAGGTGGTAGAGAAGTACAGGACCCCGCAGGGCCCACCGCCGACCTCCGTGGCTGCCTGAGGGGCTCCACCAGCAGCCCCTCCTCTGGCCTCCCCCCCTCTGAAGGGCAGAGCGCCTGCCTGCCCTGGTTTGCCCTCCGCCAGCTCACGGCAGGACCAAGCAGGCAGCATCATCACCAGCAGGGCAGGACAAGGCGGCGGCAGCAGCTGCTGCCGCTTTGGGAACCTGAACCAATAAAACAGGTCAAAACCACTCATCTTTGGACACCTGGCTGCTGTCTTCTGTGGGGACGGGGCTGCTCCATTCCCAGTGTGCCAGTCTGAGGAGGTGCTTTGCCCGCTCTGTGGCTCAGCCCAGGACTGCTGAGGGCCTTGTGCCAAGGGGCAGCGTCTGGCAGGAAGGCGCCAGGCCTCGAGGGGGGCTTTGCCACAGAGCAGGCACTCTGGCCCAAACAGCGTGGCAACATCCTGGGGGGCTTAATTCCCCTCTTTGGAAAGGCAAAGCCACGGAGATGGATAGCCCTTATTATTTCCATATGTGGGTCGATATGCAGGGGAGAAAAATCAGTCCAGAGTGGAAGGGCAAGCAGTGCCCCACTCCATGCCCACAGGCCTGTAACAACTGCTACCCACTTGGCACCTGCGCAGCCCAGCGCATCACCTGCATCCACACCATCAGGGTGCAAGTTACGACGACCCTAGAAGGTAGGCCAGGATCATGATCTCCATACTACAGATGGGGGCAGTGAGCCAGAGCGAATGTGGCTCCCCCAAGGCCAGCCGAGGAGGAGTTTGGAATGAGTTTCAGAGCAGCAGCAGATCCAGCCCTCTCTCTTTGCAGCTGCACTTAGATTAAAACATTTAGTAACAGACCCCCATCATTTACGGCATTCTCTCCAAAGGCTCCCACCTTTCCAATCTGAAAAGCCACTTTCACCTTCCTAGGGGTGTTCGAGGTGCGTATCAATTGTAGATCTAAGGCAAGGTAATCTTGTGTGTTTGCAGGAGGAGCGTGTCCCAGCCCCTTCATCAGTCACGTGACACCCCCCCCCCCAATAATAAAAAGCCTCTATGGAAGTGGAAGGACTTCTCCTGGGATGGGAAGCGGGAAGAGAGATTTTCTTCCATAAACTTCCTTACACGAACAGGTCTTAGAATCCAAATCCTTGTCTACTTAGGCAGATGGGTTCCTTTTTCAGAGCTGCAGAGTCCCTCTGTGCCCAGACCTTATATACCAGCCTGGCACCCCCCCCCTAATATTCTGGGCTGCCCTCCCCATCAGACCCAGCCAGGGGGGTCTGGGACACCGGGGGTTGTAGCCCAGAAGATTGGCCAGGGGAAGGCTGCTGCTTCTAAGGGCAGAATCCTGGCTTGGTTACTTGGGGCTGCGGCAGTCCAGTCTCCGTGGGCTTCATTGCTGTCAAGGGAGCCACAGGAACCTGCTTCGTGCCAAGTCAGTCAATGGGCCATCGAGCTCAGTCACTGACCCAGGCCGGCAGCAGGAGCCGCCCCCAAGGCCTCCCTAGCAAACCCAGGGCAGACACTTTAGATCTCTTCTGCCACAGGGCCTCTCCTGGCCCCACCCAGGGCAGACTCTCCTCGCCCCACAGGAGGAAGTGGGCCTGGACTGAGCCGTGATTTAATGGGGAATAAATAAGCATTTCTGAGGCGCTTGGGAATTCTGCATTGTTATGGCTTGCTTGCAGAAACAGGTGATTTCTGCAAACGTAATGTCACTCGCTTACCAATGGATTCGTTACAAGAAAGGAGATTCTGCCTAAACATCAGGAGGAACTTTCTGGCGGCAGGAGCTGTTCAACAGTGGACCAGACTCTCTGGGAAGGAGGTGGTCTCTCCTTCACTGGGGGACTAACTGTCAGGGCTTCTTTAGCAGAGTTCCCCATGTTGCTGGGGGGCTGGATCAGATGACCCTTAGGAGTCCCCTCCTAACTCTACAGTTCTATGATTCTATGGCACAACTAGTAGGTTAAATATAGCGGTGGCCGCCCCAACAATTTAGAGATTCACTTCCTTCTTTATGCTGTTACTATGGCCTTAGACATCTAGCGGAAGACTTTTGATGTGTGACTAAAAAATGAAGCTGTTTCGTTTCTGAGCTTCAACGTTTGGTGAACGACCCAAAAGTGTGTTGAGAGGACAAAGCCAGAAGGCAGGCAGATTCACCACATTGGATTCAGGATGCCAGGCATTTTCCAGGGCTTGTGGACAGGTGAGATTGGGAGACACAGGTAGCTGGTGCGAATGCTCCGCCCCCCCACCAGGTAAAAGACACACCTGCAGCCACCTCTGCCGAGATGCATGCTTGAGCACGTCAGCCCCACCCAAGGCAGCTCTTGGAAGGCAAAGTTCGGGAGCCAGAGCTCAGGGAAAATGGGCCCAACCTGCCCCCGCTACAAAAGCCATCCCATAATGAGCCTCGGCTGAGTCATCACCTAAGGCCATTTAAAAACAGCATCGCCACAGAGGCCTGTAGGAAACCCACAAGCAGGATCCGGCCGCAAGAGAAATCTCCCTTCCTTTGGTTTCGAGCAAGCGCTATTCGGAAGCGTTGCTGGCTGAAGCTGTGGGGAAGGGGCTTGGCTATCATTGCTGGCAGCCATCAATCACTCCCCCCCCCTCCCAGGATCTGCCATTTGGGGCAGGGAAGAAAAGGGCAGGCAGAGTCATCTAGCCCCCATCCTTCCTCCCAAAACGCAGAGGATAGCAAGAGGGGGAGGAAAGAGGGAGAGAAACCGCAGAGCCAGGTGAGCAACCCCTCCCCCCAGGTGCCTCCAGAGACAGACACAGAACTCCAGTCCCCTTAGAAAAATAAGTTTTAATCGTGGGCCCTGGCCCAGAGACGTGGGTGCAGCCCAGGAGTGGCATTTCTTTCACCAGTGATTCAGATCCCTTCGTCAAGACTGACCGAGAACTAAGGCTGAGAGAGGTGGTCCCGTTAGGGGTGCAAGGGGGGAGAGGGAGGCAGGTCTCACCCTGCTCCCCAAAGGCAGTGCAAAACCCCCACAGGCAGTGCTGGGGAGGGAGGGGAGGGCTGCCCCGGGAGGAGAGGAGGAAGAGGGGGCCCGGCGGACCCCAGCCCAACCCCCAAGGCAGCCTGGAAGCCCAGGAAAGCGGCCGGCAGGGCGGAGGGTCGGGAGAGTCCTTGTGCCTCCCCAGCGCCTGGCAACGGGGGGCAAGCGGCCCTGCGGGAGGTCCCAGCTGCCACCTTGGCACAGGGGGTGCGGGCGCACGGAGGACGCAGTTCCCCTCGGAGGCGGAAGAGGGCGCCACGAGGCGAGGGCTAGAAGGGCTGCCCCGTGATGAAGCGCTGGAACATGTTGAAGGCAGGTCTTGGGCGGTCCGAAGGCACCATGTGACCTGCTCCCTGTGGGTCGGAGATGGGAGAACATGGCAGGGTTATAAATAATAATAATAACAATAAATTTTTATTTATACCCCACCTCCCCAGCCAAGACCAGGCTCAGGGCAGCTAACACCCAATATAAAAACAATTGATTGAAATTCAGCTTTAAAAAACAAGATTTAACATTAAAATATTAAAATGCAGCCTCGTTTCAGTGGAAACTCAATCAAAAACTTTTGGGGATGAAAACGTCAAGTCTTCACCAAGGCTAACTATCCAGACTGGTCCTACATGAGCCAGAAAAAAGCCAGGGAAGTCCCCAAATAAGGAGTTCCATGACAAAAGGAGAAAGGAAAAAGGAAAGAGGGGGTTGGGGTGGCCGAAGGGTTTCCAGGGGGCAGAAATGATGCCCTGGCCAGGAGTCCAGCCACAGACACACCTGGACCACTTACCTTGACGGTGAGGAAGGAGATGTTGGTATACTCCTTCACGAAGCCGCCAATCTGGTCCTGCCCGTTCTCATCCGTGTAGATCCATGGCCGCCGGGCCACTTGCACCTGCCAAGCAGAGACCCTGTTCTTAGAACCAGAAGGGACCCCCAGAGACCATCTAGTCCAACCCCCTGCAAGGCAGGAATCGCACCTCAGGAATCCCTGGCGGATGGCCACCCAACCTCTGCTTTAATAATAATAAATAATTTTTTATTTATACCCTGCCCTTCCCGGTTCAGAAAACCGGGCTCAGGGTGGCTAACAACAAAGTTAAAACACTTAATGGATGCAACAAAAAACAGCATAAAATACCATATAAAACGTGAACAACAATAAATTCAGAATTAAAAATCAATTTATGGGGAAAATCCATCCAATAAACATTAGATGATCACTAGGGCTAGCTGGCTAAATTAGTCCTATTTGGGCCAGCGAGGAGACCAGGGGAGAATTAGCTGTGGGATCCCAGAGCGGGTAATCTTCATAAAAAGGGGAGGGAGAGGGAAGGAAGGAAGGAAGGAAGGGGAATAAAAGATCAGGCTAAGTTCAAATGGAAAGCCAGGCGGAATAGCTCTGTCTTACAGGCCCTGCGGAAGGAAGTTAAATCCTGCAGGGCCCTGGTCTCCTGGGACAGAGCTTTCCACCAGGTCGGAGCCATCACTGAGAAGGCCCTGGCCCTGGTGGAGGATAATCTGACTTCCTTAGGGCCCGGGACCTCTAAACTATGGTTATTCATGGACCTTAAAATCCTCCAAGGAAGGAGAGTCCCAGACCACCATCAGATGGAGTCCGCTCTTACTGTCTTAGGCGAAAAGCTGGCTGGGGGTTAAGAGTGGTTCTTGCCAGCTTCTTGGTGGTGCTGAGGTTAAATTAAAACCAGCTGGCTTCCTCAAAACACGCAAGGAGGAGCTCAGCATTTCGCGGCTCACTTCCCCCATGTGGGAAAGCAGAACCGAAAGAGAAAACGTGGAACAGAAAGCAAGTGCAAAGCCTCTCGCCCCTCCGTCCCTGGAAACAGACTGGGCTAGAGCAACATTTGAATGTTTGGGTTAACAGGAGGAAAGAGGAACGAAGTATTCCCCCCCAAAATATGGGAGCTGGCAGCCCCCAGCTTTCCAAGTTCTTCCATTCCTGGTTTCCCAATTAGGGTCTGTAAGAACTTGAGGAGAGCCTGCCGGATCAGACCGCTGGGGCCCCACCCCGTCCAGCACCCTGTCCTCGCTGTGGGACATGGGTGCCAACTATAGGGGGCCCTGGCACCCACAGCGCAAGGTGGGAGTCACGTTGGAGGTCTTGCGAGGCTCAGAGACCACGTCCCAGGCCCTGTCAGGCACCGTGAAGCCATGGCGTCACATTAAGGCGCAAGTGCCATTGGGTACCCAAACCTGGGGCCCAAGTTGGTGCCCCTGCTGTGGGAAACCAGCAAAAGCAGGATCCGAGCACAAGGGCCCCTCTTCCCTCCTGTGGTTTCCAGCATCTGCCTGGAGGCGGTCGGAGGATGGATGGCAGCTAATGGATTGAGGCTGAATCCTGACAAGACAGAAGTACGGTTTTTGGAGGACAGGGGGCAGGCAGCTGTGGGGGACTCCCTGGTCCTGAATGGGGCAACTGTGCCCCTGAAGGACCAGGTGAACAGCCTGGGAGTCATTTTGGACTCACAGCTGTCCATGGAGGCACAGGTCAATTCTGTGTCCAGGGCAGCTTACCAGCTCCATCTGGGATGCAGAATGAGACCCTCCCTGCCCGCAGACTGTCTCGCCAGAGTGGTGCATGCTCTGGTTATCTCTCACTTGGACTATTGCAATGCGCTCTACGTGGGGCTACCTTTGAGGGTGACCCAGAAACTGCAATTAATCCAGAACGCGGCAGCTAGATGGGTGACTGGGAGCAGCCGTCGAGACCACAACACCGGTCCTGAGAGATCTGCATTGGCTCCCAGGATGTTTCTGAGCAGAATTCAAAGTGTTGGTGCTGACCTATAAAGCCCTAAACAGCCTCGGCCCAGTATACCTGAAGGAGCGTCTCCACCCCCATCGTTCTGCCCGGACGCTGAGGTCCAGCTCTGAGGGCCTTCTGGCGGTTCCCTCCCTGTGAGAAGCCAAGTTACAGGGAACCAGGCAGAGGGCCTTCTCGGTGGTGGCGCCTGCCCTGTGGAATGCCCTCCCTTCAGATGTCAAGGAAATAAGCAGCTATCTTATCTTTAAAAGACATCTGAAGGCAGCCCTGTTTAGGGAAGTTTTTAATATTTAAAGCTGTATTGATTTTAACACTCGATTGGGAGCCGCCCAGAGTGGCTGGGAAAACTCAGCCAGATGGGTGTCCTGTGGCGGTGAGTTCCACAGTGTGACAAGGCACGGCTCCTGGCTCAACCCACCTTCTGGCGCAAGGAGTCCACGAACCACTCGTCCCCCAGGAAGTTGCAGGCCATGTCCACGTCGCCGTTGTAGATCAGGATGCGGTATTTCTGCGGGCAGGAGGGCCAGTCTGGAGTTAGTGGAGCCCTCTGGCGCTCTCTGGGGCAGCCCACCCATGTCTGCCCCGCCCCCCAGGTCCTGAGGAGGGGTCCCAAGGGCCTAGTAGTCCAACCCCCTGCAATGGAGAAACCCCACAGGGGGCTCCCTCCCTCCACCGACTCACCATGGTGCCAAGCAGTTTCAGGTACTGGTCGTTCATCGTCATGTAGATGCGCTTGTAACCCCGGCTGACGGGGAAGCTGGAAGGGGGGGGCAAGGAGCGTTAGGAGGGGTGGGGTGAAGCTGCGCAGTCCCAGGCCAGGTCAAGGCCTCCTCCCCTCCAGAGGCCACCTTTGTGCCGTCCCCCACACCTGTCCTCTCTCACCTGCACATCTGCCATTCCGGGGCATTGTCCTTAACGTGCAAGGCCTTGCGCACCTGGGGGTCGTTCATGTAGGTGGTGGGGGACGAGGTGTTGATGCAGGGGGGGTCCAGGCGAGCCTTGTTACTTGCGACCGGCAAGGTGAGCAGGAACTGGGGGGGGGGGGAGTGAACACATTTCATTGTAAGTATGCTGAAGGTGCCAGCAGCTGCTCTGGTTGCTAGAAGCAGCCCTTTGTTCAGGGGTCAGCAAACTTTTTCAGCAGGGGGCCAGTCCACTGTCCCTCAGACCTTGTGGGGGGCCGGACTATATTTTTTTGGGGGGGGGGGGGAATGAACGAATTTCTATGCCCCACAAATAACCCAGAGACGCATTTTAAATAAAAGGACGTATTCCACTCATGTAAAAACACACTGATTCCCGGACCGTCTGTGGGCCGAATTGAGAAGGCGATTGGGTGGATCCGGGCCCCGGGCCTTAGTTTGCCTACCCATGCCTTTGACCCTCCCCACCAAGACGACATAAGTATTTCCATGCTCAGGTCTGCTAGGCCACTAGAGGAAGCGACGGCTGAGGGAGGGGGGCGATTTTGTGGTGGTAACGGATACAGGTGTCCTCTCACAAGCCACCCCCCCCCCAATTCTCTCTCTTCCGGGTCTGCCCAACTGGAAAGCATTGAGCTGGGCCTGTTGCCCCCTCTGCCTCTACACTCAAGGGGAGAGCCTGACGCCAAGCGGAATTGGAGACGGAATGCCCCCCCCCAACCTCTAGAGAGCTGCTCTCACCTCCCTCCAAGAGGAACGAAGCGGCTGCCGAATGAAGTTGTTGCCCAGGTCGTAGCTGACCAGCATCCCATCATTGTACCTGGAAGCCAAAGAAGGGTCCCGCTTAGTCTCACCTCACTGGAGAGCCAGAAGGGTTCCCCAAGGGTCATCTAGCCCAACCCCCTCCCACGCAGGGACCACCGCTGAAGAATCCCGGAGCTTCAGCTCTTGCCTGACGTTCTGGCACCTCCTGCCACTCTCACCCACCCAGGGCAGGCAGCGGGCGCTGGAGTTGGGCGTGGCTTATAAGGCAGTCCCCGCATCTCACTGGGGAGCGAACCTGCCAGCAGCCAAGCCTACCTGTAGCTTCCAGGCACTCCGCCAGCACACGGGGCATACAGGTTGTAGATGTTGAGGCCGGACTCGTCCACTATACGGATCACCTCCGCCATCTGCAACGAGACACAGGAAAATGCAAGGATCCAGCCAGGAGGAAATGGAGAGAGAGAAAGAGAGGGCCCAGCCCCACTCCTCTGCCCAGGCAGTGCCCCACAAGTGGGTTCGGGGGCAGGGGGAGACGCCCTGGCCAGCTGCCCCCCACTCACCCCAAGAGTGCAGTTCAGGTTCTTGTTGTCATGGAAGTTGCACTTCCCGCCAGAGCAGCACGAGGCCTGCAAGTCCGACCAGAGCCTGCAGGAAGAGGGAGGACCAGAACCATCGTCACCCCAAAGCCCTGGGCTTTGCCACGCCCCCCCCCCCCCAGCCAAAGCAGACCCCCGTTTCTCCCCTTCCACTCCCTCCCCACTGCCCATCTTCTCCATCAAAGAACTTAATTCTATCAATTTTTCACAATGCAGAAACATAAACTGTTGTCCTTCTGGCCTGACATTCATAGAATCATAGAATCATGGAGTTGGAAGAGACCCCAAGGGCCATCGAGTCCAACCCCCTGCCAAGCAGGAAACACCATCAGAGCACTCCTGACATATGGTTGTCAAGCCTCTGCTTAAAGACCTCCAAAGAAGGAGACTCCACCACACTCCTTGGCAGCAAATTCCACTGTCGAACAGCTCTTACTGTCAGGAAGTTCTTCCTAATGTTTAGGTGGAATCTTCCTTCTTGTAGTTTGGATCCATTGCTCCGTGTCCGCTTCTCTGGAGCAGCAGAAAACAACCTTTCTCCCTCCTCTATGTGACATCCTTTTATATATTTATTCGCCACGACTAAAATGTTCCAAGTGTGCTCTTATCTCTGCATTTAGGAACTTAATTGCTGAGCTAGACTTTCTGAAGATCTGTTTGTGCAGCAGGCAATGTGAAATCGCTTCCACATTCCCCGATGTAAGAAACACAAGGGAAGTTCCTTTTGCAACCTTTGCGTGGCAAACAAGTCTTTTTGATAAGGCCCAATTGAACAGAAATTCAGACTGCCATCTTCTGCACCTAAGGACGCAGCCCCCACCCCAAGCCAGCAGATTCTCACCTGCTCCCCAAGAGGCCGTGGTAGTAGGCAAAGTAAACCAGTGAGTTGTCATTGGTCTCATAGGAGGAGAGCCCGTTGCCCACTGCGATTCCCTGGAAAACACAGGCACAGCCCCATCAGCGAGGAAGACCCCTTGGCACCCGAGCGAGAAGGGGCTGCCGTCACAAAATGTGGCATGCTTCTCTTACATTTGGAAAGCTGAGCTCTCCTTTGGTCTGCTGCCGTGGAAAACGTGTTGATGTATATTCACCAACAGAGAGCTTATAGTGTTAAAACCACAGAATCATAGCGCTGGAAGGGAGCCGAGGGTCATCTAGTCCAACCCCCTGGAAAATGCCCCCCCCCCCAACTCTGTTTATGACCCTCCAGAGCAGGAGAGTCCACTGTCTTCCCAGGGAGTCCGTTCCACTGCCCAACAACTCTTCCCATCATTAAGTTCTTCAGAAAGCAGGAGAAAACAAGCTTGCTCCCTGGGCTGTTGTGAAAGGAGCCACAAGGTCTTAGGAAGACGCGAGTGAAGTAATTTCCCGCTGAGTTTCTGGCCCTGACGCTTCTTCCTCTGAGCCTGGGATCTCCCTTCTTGCTTGCCCAACCAGGCTGTTGCTTAGTTACCTGATGGCAACTCTGCCTTCTTTGTGACTTAATTTCCACAGGCGTGTCAAGGTGAGAAAATGCCTCTGCAATTTACAGGCCTGCCGCCTCCACTTTTTGTGGCTTCCTCAGCGGCTGCTGAGGCTCTGACCCAGCAAAAGCTGCCTTAAACATCACAACCGTTGCCATGAACTGAACCGCCCAGAGATTCCACTGGGTACCCTCAAATCCCAGCAGTCTGAGGGTCAAACCTTTGTGCGCTTCTCTCCGTCCTCGTCCCCAAAGCTAAAGCAGCTTCTAGAATCAAAATCACGTGACTGGAGGGTTGGAAGGGACCCCCCAAGGTCATCCAGCCCAACCCCGCTGCAATGCAGGGATCTCAGGTCAAGCATCCCTGACAGATGGCCCTCCAAGCTCTGCTTAAAAACCTCCGAGGAAGGCGAGGCGCCACATTCTGAGGGAGTCTGTTCTTGTTCCTCTGGAAGGAGTTGCCAGCTGAGACTGGTTCCTCTGGAGCTTCTGGGACAGATGAAGCAGGCGGCCTTTGAGGAGCCTCTGCACGCGGCTGCCACCCACGACTCTTTTGAGCGCGGGCTCAGCGCCAGGATCTTGAAATCCTCCAGAGCAGGTGAGTGGCAGCCGCCTCCTTTGTCAAGCAGAGGTTGCAGAGGCCCCGATCCCCAGCCCAGCCCTTGGTCCTCCTCCTCCTCCTCCCTCTAGGACCCCGCGGACACACACCTTCAAGTTGAGGCTGGGGTCCTGCATGACCCACTGCGCCAGAGTGGGGATGTAGATCCCGCCGTAGCTCTCCCCGGTGAGGAAGAGGTCCTTGCTGCTGTATTCCGGGTAGAGGCGCAAAAACTCCTTCAAGGCCAGGTAGTTCACGCGAGCCACCTGCCGGGGGGAGGGGCAAGGTGAGCGCACGGCAGGTAAGGGAACGGAAGCCCCCAGGGCCCCCCTCCCAGTCCACCATACACACCTCGGTGTCGTTGGTCCGGTAGTCTTGGCTATCGGAGTAGGAGTAGCCCACCCCAACGGGGGACTCCAAGTACAGGATGTGGGCCAGCTGAAAAGAGACGGTGACAGCAAGTCACTTTTCACCCACCAGGGGGCGACATACACCTGGTGCCCTCAAGCGCTTGGTTTCATTCATTTCACTGCACCTTTTTCCTCCAGGGAGCTCAAGGCAGTGTCCAGGATTCTCCCCCTCCTCGTTTTATTCCCACAACCACCCTGTGAGGCAGCACTGACTGGTCACAGCCAATGGAACCCTGGTCTGCCAGATCCTGTTCTGGCACTCCAGCCACCACGCCAGACTGGCTCTCTAGCTGTCCAGAGACAGGCAACGGGATCCTTTGCTGCCACTGCCCTTTCAGAAAGAGCCAGGAATTCTATTTTGATTCCCAGCAAGCATTTCTTAGGGACCCCCTTGACGGACAGGGGAGGAAGGAGGCCTCACCTTGTTCCAGGCATAGTTGTTGTATCCCAGAGTGGCTCCATCAGGCTGAATCTGCCAAGGGAGGGAGAAGGGGCTGTTATTGCGACACAAGGCAAGGGGATTCCCTCTCCGGTGACCCAAATCGCAGCAGATCCTTATTGCAAGGCTCTGTGTGGAGCAGGCCTGGGCACATCAGGAGGCAGCCGGCCTCACGGTGAGAAAGTTCACACATTCAGGTTTTGAATCTGAGTCACCTCGTGGTGCATCATCCCAATTAACTTCCAATTCAGATTATTTATTTTGCAAAGGGAGCTGACAGGCCATTATTTGCGACGAGTGATACTGGAAAACAATTGCACTTCCAGGCTCTCAAGAGATTATCCTCCTCGTCACAAGCCGAGCGCAGGCGGGTGGCTGATCTCATAAACGCTGATTGAGTTCTCGTCACCCACGACTGGCGTGCACCTTCCCACCCTGAAAGCGCCACAGCTTGTGGAACAAGGAACCGCTAGGCCAGTTGTGGCATCAACCTCAAAGTTGCAGCCATGGCCACAAACCTGGACAGCTTTACAAGAGGATTAGCCCATTTCTTAAGAGGCGAATAAGGCTAGCAATAGCTACTAGTCAGGATAGCTATGCGGAATCTCCCCTGTGCGTTTCAAAGGAGCTTGCCTGAAACCCTCCAGGGATCCTTGGATCGGGACCGTTTAAACACATTATTACCCCACTCTGTGGAATTCGATCCGCTATGTTTTAGCTGTACAATCACTAAAACATTCAGGAACCAAACTGCTTTTTCGGTGCGGCCGGAGCAGGAACAGTCACCATTCAGAGAAAGAGGTCGGAATAGGCCAATATTTGGGTGGAATGTCTCTGGATCAAGCGACTTTTCTGTTTTCAGTTCTCAAAGTTCTTAACCTGGCTCAAGACTGTCCTCTGAACTAGCTGGATGTTTAACTGAGAATCACAAGTCAGTCCGCCATTTGAAAAACGAGACTTTAGAGCCGCCTTGGTCCCAAATGGCAACTAGACATTCCATTGGGACAACGGCAACCTTGGTTTAAGGAGCCATTTGGGGCCACCTTATATATATATATCTGAATTTCTAACTCCGGTCAGGAGCAACAGGCCTCTGCAAACCAGGCGCTGGAGGCTGTGTTGCACTGTGGCCCTGCTTGCGGGCTTCTCAGGGGGGCCCCGGTTGGCCCCTGGGAAAGCAGGATGCTGGGCTCTGGGGCCCCTTTGCCCTGATCCAGCTGAACTCTTCTAAATTATTGCTATCGAGAAAGATGTTAATCGTAAGTAAATTTTATGTGAAAATAGTTTTGGAAAACTGCTACAATCATTTATATGGAAACTCAGCCAGGGGGACTCGAGGAAGGCACCCAACAATGTTAACAAAAGTGGAATTATTACAGTTAGGATGTTTTCTTTCTATTTGTTTGTAATAAATTTGGATAGCTAATAAAAATTTTTTTAAATAAATTATTGCCATCAACTGTATCAAATCCATATGCTGCTGCTCTCCCCCCCCCCCCCCAAAAAAAGGAACTCAAGGCAGCAATCGCATCTCCAAAAGCAATTGCAACAGAAATGCAGATTTCCATGCCTGGCTCTCTCCCGCCTTGGCATAGCAAATGCCAGCGCTTCCCCATTTGCTCCAGGGGAAAGGGATCTCTTGGCCCACCAGATCCCCCCCCCCCCCCCTCCATCAGTCCTGGCTACTGACCGTGAAAGGCCCATGCTCTGTCAGGAGGCCGGCGATGGAGCTGCAGCCGGGCCCGCCGTTCAGCCAGAGCACAAGGGGCTTGTCTGCGGCGCCGTTGCCCTGCGCCTCCACGAACCTGCAAGGGAGGCGGAAGGAGGTGAGCAGCCCCAGGCACAGCTGCCAACCTCCCCTTTTTGTGTGGGAAATCCCCTTATTCCAGCACCGTTTCCCGCTGCTTCCCAGATTGTTAGATACAGTGGGACCTCGGGTTAAGTACTTAATTTGTTCCCGAGGTCCGTTCTTAACCTGAAACTGTTCTTAACCTGAAGCACCACTTTAGCTAAGGGGGCCTCCTGCTGCTGCTGTGCCCCCGGAGCACAATTTCTGTTCTCATCCTGAGGCAAAGTTCTTAACCTGAAGCACTAATTTCTGGGCTAGTGGAGTCTGTAACCTGAAGCGTCTGTAACCTGAGGTACCACTGTATCCTGTAAACTGTCCCCGGGACAGGTGAGTCTGCGGATCCCTTATTTTTGCGGCTGCAGATCCCTTATTTTTGAGGCTGCAGATCCCTTATTTTTGCGGCTGCGGATCCCTTATTTTGGAGGCTGCTGATCCCTTATTTTTGAGGCTGTGGATCCCTTATTTTGGAGGCTGCTGATCCCTTATTTTTGAGGCTGTGGATCCCTTATTTTGGAGGCTGCTGATCCCTTAATTTCGAAGCTGCTGATCCCTTATTTTTGTGGCTGCGGATCCTTTATTTTCCAATCTGCAAGTTGACAGCTTTGGCCCCGCGGGACCCAGGTGCAAGCCCCCCTGGAGCTGCAGCCCCCCTCCCCCCGCCCCACCTACCAGTAGTGCAGGTGCTTGTCGCTCTCGGCGTCCAGGTAGCCCGAGTAGTGCTTGAAGGCGGGCTGCTTGGCCAGCCCCGGCAGGTAGGTGACCTCGTGCCCGGCGGGCGCCGCTTGGGCAGCGCCGCAGAACAGCAGCAGCAGCAGCAGCAGCGAAGAGGCAGCGGCGCGGAGAGGCGGCATCTGCAAGGAGAGAGAGGTCAGAGGCGCCCGGGACCCCTCGAGGGCATCCAGCCGGACCCGCCCGCCCGCCCCGCTTCCCTCCCTGGCTTGCCTTGGCTCGACTGGGGCCGCGCGCGCGTGACCGGCGCTCATATGGCCCGGGCGGGTCAGCTGACGGCACGGAAGAGAGGGGCGGGGCTCCCGGGACGGGCGGCCAATCGGAGCCGCGCAGCGCCCCCGCCCCCCCCCGCCGTCGCGGGGCCGTATTTACCGTACGCGACGCGCCCTCGCTACCGTAATCTCCTGCGCGGAGCGGCGCGCGCCAGAAACAGGAAGAAGAAGAAGAAGAAGGTTTATTATTTACAAAATTATTATTATTATTAGCTACATCGCCGACCCCCTGACAGAGCAAGGGCCCTCCACGGTCAGCATTATTATTATTAGTTTAATTATTATTCATTACATTATATTTTTTTGAAAAAGTATTATTAAAATAATTCAGCATTAATACACACATATTGGCAATATACAAACATACATTTCATACAATCCTTAAAAATGTTCAAACATACCTGCACTCAATCCCACAGATAATTATAATTATATTATAACTTTTTTTAATTACTTATTTTTTATTATTATTATCAGTGCTTTTTTCTGGGGGGACACAGGGGGACACATACCCCTAAACATTTTATAAATCTTTGTACTTTTGTCCATTTACTGTACTTACCGGTACTTTTTTATTTACAACATAGTCCACAACAACTCATACATACAGACAAACAAACAAACAAACAAGCCCACCCACCCACCACCATTGACAATTTCGTTCTCAGAATTAAACTCCTATCCCCTTACACAAAGAAAGCATAACCTAAAAATACAAGACTTCCTTTATCCTCTCAATGGCCTCCTTGTTTACTTCTTGTGTACTGTTTCTTGTGTACTGTTTCATCAGAGTTTGCAGGGCAGCGGCGCGCACCTAGCGGCACGCGCAGTTTGATCCATCTTTTAGATTTAGGGGAGCTAGTCTCAAACGTTTGTTGGGGGAGACCTAGGTTTTTTTGTGGGGGGAGTTATTTGTCCTGTCTTCACGCTTTTTATGATGGAGGACCGCTGTAGCCACCCCCAACGACACGTTCTGAAGATGGAGGGGGGAGGGAACAGCTGCAGTCGCCTGCGGTTCCTGCGCAATGTTTGCCATCTTGCCAAAGGTTGCAGGCAGCTTTACCTGCAGCAATTGCATGTTGATTGCCCTCTTAAAAGACAAAGTCCAGCAACTGGAGGAACGTGTAGCTACGCTCCAAAGAATTAGAGAGCTGGAGCTCTTCTTGGAAGCAACAGAGCACACCGTCTCCACCAAGGAGGAGACAGGGGACTCCCCTGAGAAGGACGCTAGTTCACCAACACAGGAGCCAGATATATGGAGAAACGTGACTCAAAGAAGTAGGAGGCCCAGGGTTCGCTCTGATTGTCTAGAAATACACAATCGCTTTGAGGTCCTCTCCCTAGCATGGAAGACGAAGAGCAGACTCCATTTGAGGATCTCTCCTCGTTACAGTCGATCAGGTATATGAAGACGAGCAGCAAAGTCAGTCCTCAGGGAATGTGCAGGCGACCTTGGAGCGGACAGCTCACGGAAGAACCCCGACCAAACCTAAGAGGAGGCGTGTAGTGGTGATAGGGGATTCCCTACTGAGGGGAACAGAAGCAGTGATCTGTGGGCCTGACAAGATGTCTCGGGAAGTGTGCTGTCTCCCCGGGCCTAAGATCCAAGATGTAACTGAACGACTGCAAGGAATCATAAAACCCACTGACAATACCCCTTCCTCTTGGTTCATGTGGGAACCAATGACACTGCAAGCAATAGCCTCCAGAAGATCAAAAGAGACTACGAGGCTCTGGGCAGGAAATTGAAGCAATTAAATGCACAAATTGTGATCTCATCTGTCCTCCCAGTTGAACGACGTGGCCCAGGGAGAGAGGGGAAAATAGTGGAAGTGAACAGCTGGCTTCGCAAATGGTGTAAACAGGAACGGTTTGGATTCTTAGATCACGGACTGCAGTTTCTTGAAGATGGACTTCTGGCAAGCGATGGGCTGCACCTCACAACGGTTGGGAGAAATGTTTTTGCCAAAAATCTCAGAAACCTCATCAGGAGGGCTTTAAACTGACTAATGTGGGGAGGGAGACAGTGCTCCTGAAGGTAGGAGTCTATCAATTGATGAAGATGATCATCCAAATGTCATAGACCAAATGGAGCAAACAGCACGCAGACCTAGTGGTGGGAGGAAAAATCCTTAAATAAGAGACACGGGGAATGATTAATGGACTTCAATGTCTGTACACTAATGCGCAAAGCATGGGAAATAAACAAGATGAGCTTGAGCTCTTGGTACAGCAAACTAAATATGACATAATAGGCATCACTGAAACCTGGTGGGATAAGTCCCACGATTGGAATGTAATAATGGGGGATACAATCTATTTCAGAGAAACAGACCAGACAAGAAAGGAGGAGGAGTGGCGTTATATGTCAGGGATGTGTATACCTGTGAAGAGATCCAAGATTTAGAACCTCAAAGCCAAAGTGAGAGCATTTGGGTCAAAATTAAGGGAGAGAAGAATAACAGGGACCTCATTGTGGGAGTTTACTATAGATCCCCAAGCCAAACGGAGGACATAGATGATGCCTTCCTGGAACAGATGGCCAAGCATGCAAAAGGAAGGGAGATAGTAGTAATGGGGGACTTCAATTACCCGGATATTTGTTGGATGTCAAACTCAGCCAAGAGCATAAGGTCAAACAGATTCCTCACTGGCCTTGCAGACAACTTCATTGTCCAGAAAGTGGGAGAAGCAACAAGAGGAACAGCCATTTTAGATCTGGTCCTAACCAATGTTGATGACCTGGTTAGTGGGGTAGAAGTGGAAGGATCATTAGGCGCGAGTGATCATGCTCTTCTGAAGTTTACTATACAGCGGAAAGGAGCAGCCAAGCATACTAGGACTCAATTTCTTGACTTTAAGAAAGCTGACTTCATAAAACTTAGGGAAGTGCTGGGTGAGATCCCATGGACAGTAATACTAAAAGGAAAGGGAGTTCATGATGGCTGGGAGTTTGTTAAGAGGGAGATACTAAAAGCACAACATCAGGCAATACCAATGAGACAGAAACATGGAAGGTGCCTAAAGAAGCCAGGGTGGCTATCTAAAGAACTTTTAACTGAGTTAAGATTAAAAAGGATGTGTACAAAAATGGAAAAGGGGGAAACCACCAAAGAGGAATTCAAACAAATAGCCAGCACGTGTAGACACAAAGTCAGAAAAGCTAAAGCACAGAATGAACTCAGGCTTGCTAGAGAGGTTAAAAGCAACAAAAAAGGCTTTTATGGGTATGTCCGTAGCAAAAGGAAGAACAAAGAAACAGTGGGGTCACTCAGAGGAGAAGATGGGGAAATGCAAACAGGGGACACAGAAAGAGCTGAACTCCTCAATGCCTTCTTTGCCTCAGTCTTCTCCGATAAAGAAAACAATGCCCAACCTGAAGAATTTGGAGCAAATGATTCAGCAAATGAAACACAGCCCAGAATAACTAAGGAGATAGTACAAGAATACTTGGCTAGTTTAGATGTATTCAAGTCTCCAGGGCCAGATGAACTGCATCCAAGAGTATTAAAAGAACTGGCAGATGTGATCTCAGAACCACTGGCAGTCATCTTTGAGAATTCCTGGAGAACAGGCGAAGTCCCGGCAGACTGGAGGAGGGCAAATGTTGTCCCTATTTTCAAAAAGGGGAAAAGAGAGGACCCAAATAATTACCGCCCAGTCAGTCTGACATCAATACCAGGGAAGATTCTGGAGCAGATCATTAAGCAAACAGTCTGTGAGCACCTAGAAAGGAATGCTGTGATCACCAATAGTCAGCATGGATTTCTGAAAAATAAGTCATGTCAGACTAACCTGATCTCGTTTTTTGACAGAATTACAAGCCTGGTAGATGAAGGGAACGCAGTGGATGTAGCCTACCTTGATTTCAGCAAGGCATTTGACAAGGTGCCTCATGATATTCTTGTAAAGAAGCTGGTAAAATGTGGTCTTGACTATGCTACCACTCAGTGGATTTGTAACTGGCTGACTGACCGAACCCAAAGGGTGCTCATCAATGGTTCCTCTTCATCCTGGAGAAGAGTGACTAGTGGGGTGCCACAGGGTTCAGTCTTGGGCCCGGTCTTATTCAGCATCTTTATCAACGACTTGGATGATGGACTCAAGGGCATCCTGATCAAATTTGCAGATGACACCAAATTGGGAGGGGTGGCTAACACCCCAGAGGACAGGATCACACTTCAAAACGACCTTGACAGATTAGAGAACTGGGCCAAAACAAACAAGATGAATTTTAACAGGGAGAAATGTAAAGTATTGCACTTGGGCAAAAAAAATGAGAGGCACAAATACAAGATGGGGGACACCTGGCTTGGGAGCAGTACATGTGAAAAGGATCTAGGAGTCTTGGTTGACCACAAACTTGACATGAGCCAACAGTGTGACGCGGCAGCTAAAAAGCCAATGCAATTCTGGGCTGCATCAATAGGAGTATAGCATCTAGATCAAGGGAAGTAATAGTGCCACTGTATTCTGCTCTGGTCAGACCTCACCTGGAGTACTGTGTCCAGTTCTGGGCACCACAGTTCAAGAAAGACATTGACAAACTGGAACGTGTCCAGAGGAGGGCAACCAAAATGGTCAAAGGCCTGGAAACGATGCCTTATGAGGAACGGCTAAGAGAGCTGGGCATGTTTAGCCTGGAGAAGAGGAGGTTAAGGGGTGATATGATAGCCATGTTCAAATATATAAAAGGATGTCACATAGAGGAGGGAGAAAGGTTGTTTTCTGCTGCTCCAGAGAAGCGGACACGGAGCAATGGATCCAAACTACAAGAAAGAAGATTCCACCTAAACATTAGGAAGAACTTCCTGACAGTAAGAGCTGTTCGACAGTGGAATTTGCTGCCAAGGAGTGTGGTGGAGTCTCCTTCTTTGGAGGTCTTTAAGCAGAGGCTTGACAACCATATGTCAGGAGTGCTCTGATGGTGTTTCCTGCTTGGCAGGGGTTGGACTCGATGGCCCTTGTGGTCTCTTCCAACTCTATGAT